GCTGATTGCATATAACTTGTTATTTGAGCATAGATGTTTGGAGATATCGCCAGTAGGTGTCAATAGCGCACCGCGAAAATGCAGACAGGTGAAGCTGGTCACGCGTGACCTGAAACAGGAAACGAGACTTGCTTCTGAGAGATTGCAAAATGCTGTGCGCTGTGTAACCGCAAAGAAAATAAACACTTCTAATGTGTATATTTCTGTAATTACAGGTAAGCTGGCGATATACCAGATTAGACTCTTTTATCTGACTGTTACTGTGTTTTGGGAAGTTGTGTTAAGGTTTGTTATGGTTGTGAAAACCGGGTTGTAGTAAGAGGAGCCAGTTAGCATGTTGTCATTGCAGTAATATAAAGGCGACGGGGGAAGGTTAATGTGAGGATATGAACCCTCGTGCGAGGGAGCCCCCATCGCTCGTTCATGTGGTTAATGCAATGAATGTAAGAAAAAAGAAACAGGTAACGAGACTTGCTTCTGTGAGATTGCAAAATGCTATGCGCTGTGTAACCGCAAAGAAAATAAACACTTCTAATGTGTATATTTCTGTAATTACAGGTAAATATGTGGCACCAGTTTGAACCTTAGTGAACTCGTTCTGCGCCCCGCTACACATACTGAATTACAATCACACACAAATTATGTCAGTCTGTGGTCTGGAGCAACTAGAGGGCCTACAGTATACGTGCACTACAGTAACCTTATAAACACTGTAAGAGTGTAATCATAGTGTCTGTAAATTGGAGTGCATCTAAACAAAACATATTAAATTAGCTGCCTGAAATTGATGATCACAGGATTTAGAGCACTCACAAATGATGTATCTTTTAGTCCTCAATATGTCCTTGAATATATAAGCCAGATTAATCTCAGTGTGGTGGAAAATAGTGGCCACAAAAGCAGTTGCCAGGCCTTAAATCCAGCACACTGCCTCTCTACATCCTCGTCACGTCTGACACAGTATCCTGCCACGGGTCGCCAGCCAGGCAGGAGAACATCGCTGCCAGATTTTCCTCTATTCCTCTCAGGCCTTCCTCACCTAAGCAAGCAGAAGTAAGATTAGAGTTTCTTACAGCTGATTATCATCTGCACCCACTAATTAAAATTTGGACCACAGTGACTCCATCCTAAGGCAACCCATCTTTTTTTAAAAGCTATAACTTTTTAAAAGCCTTTATGTCTGCTGGGCCTGTTTTTTACAACCACTCTGAGCTTCTTCTTCACCTAAGTTTGAAATTTTATTAGAATTTTAATATGCTGGATTTGCTATAAGTCGATGAGCTGCCTGCCAGTCAGAATAAATCATAATTTATATCTTTAAAGACCAGTCCTTGACTTTATTGACCATATAAATCTGACCTTAATTCATATGCTTAAGTGAATAGTTTGCCTTAATGATAAAAAACAAGCATTTTGTGCATTCAGGCCTATTATACTCTTGTGTTCACAAATGTTACTGATATGAACAGGCCTTTATCAGCATCAGTGATTTAATCATTTACCGTATATGCAGTTGGTTAACATTAGTGTAAAACTCTGATTCTGATTCTGAATTTGAAAAGGCAGCTAATAATCCTTTGTTTTGGATTATGATATTGTACCATCCCTTTGCTTTGGGGCTGTATCTCTAAGGACTGTGCAAAAATTACTTGGGTGGGGATCAACCTCATATTTCATTTAAAAAAAAAGAAAGGTCAGAAAAATGCAACATCATCCACACAACGTGTCAAAATAATATAGTGTTTAATCATTTATGCCAACACAACAGACTGTACAGCACCAGCAGACTCCAGCAGCACAGCTTCTCAGCAACAGAGGCCAGAAAATCTTACATACCTACAGGTCCTGGTGCATAGCTACTACCTGTTTACCTGTGCTGAAAGAGCACAAGGGTGCACAGTGTCACTAAAGTGTCTGACCCTGCTATTCATGCCTGACCTCTCTACCCCACCATACAACACACAGGTCTCGCTTTTTACAGCTGGGAATCAAGAGAAGTTCTAACCTCCAGATTTTCAAACGTGAGTAGTTAGCGAAATTTTGCAGTAAGGAACTCTATGAATTGTAGCCAACCTGGTGCTTTTTTATGTGGAGTTTGCATGTTCAAAGACATGCAGCTTAGGTTGATTGGCAACCCTAAATTGCCCGTAGGAGGGTGTGTGGTTGTCTGTCTCCAAGTGTCAGCCCTGTGATAGACTAGGGACCCCGCCTCTCGCCCAGTGTCAGCTGGGATTGGCTCCAGCCCCCCTGCGACCCTCTTCAGGATAAGGGGTATAGATAATGGATGGATAATAAATATTTAATGACATCACAGGCAGCGTGATCCATTATACTAATGGATCAAGATATCGTTTCCTTGCTTCCTAGCTTCTATAGTTGTGTTTGTACAAACCAAACTGACAGTTCATTGTTATCACATGCAGGCCAACAAATATAACACGTGCTCTTACATATGGCTAATAAAGTAGTTTATCATCTTTTTAATCAATGTGAAGTATGGTATGTTTCGAATAAAGACTCTTTGGTTCATATTTTCTGAGAATGAATACAACTGTAAAACTAACTTGATTCATACCCTCTTTGGACATTGCAAGTCCCGGGCCAGATTGAGCAGCAATTCATGAGAAATGGGGTCCACCAGGTTGAGAAAAGCTGCATTCTTGTATAAAATATCATTAAGTGACGTCCCCTGGAGGCCCAAGTCCTGAGAGAGAAAGAGAAAAAGGAAAGTGGTTCCGTTAACTCTTGATACATCTCACACATATTTTAGAAATTCATAAATTCATTTGATTAAAACTGATTAAGCCACACTTAATTCAATGTCTTGGTGACATTTCATGGATAGTTCAATGAAAATAGATTGACAGTGTTTTGAAGCTTTGTTCATCCATCCTCTTCTCTATCACACGGTGAGCCAATAAGGTTTTGCCATGTTTGTCAGGGCAGTTGTTTAGGGGAATGTGTCTGTGTGCATATATACTATATTTGTGCATGTGTGTGTGTGTGTAAGCTAAGATGAAAGTGGTCAGGTCTTCTTTCTAAAATAATACAGTTATAGTCTAGTGAACAGAATACAACTCCATCTGGTTCCTCTTACCTAATTTGGAGGTTTCATTTGTACAGTTGCTTTGCCCATGGGACATTCTATCATTTTCACAAAAATATAGCTCTAAAACATCTGAGGAAACTACTTTTTGACTCCAGCTAAATACAATTCCACGCTCTACTTTCAGTCTTCATATTTCATAAGTTATATATTTGTGTGATATGAGAACACTTTAATAAAACCGTCACATCCCCTAGGGTTGCTGTTATTTGTATTATTTTCAGATAGTTTCTTTTTGCAATGTAAATATACTGAAGCTGCGTCTTTACTCTAGGTACGGTTTTGATGACACTTTAAATGGCCCCACCGGCATGCAGCATCCACCACCTTAATTTAATTTAATTTAATTTGATTTATTCTTTCAAGCATGTAAAAACAGCTGATATGACAACACACATAATTTTACACATATCCAACAAATGGTAATCCAATATCAATTTGCTTATACCTAGTACATGCTTGAACGGAGTAGGAAGAAGTCAGACTTATCCAGTCCTACCCCATGACATCATCTTACCATCATTGGTTTACAAGCAGTATCTCTACATAAATAATTCTCTTCTACACCACACAAGTAATATACTAAAAAAATTATAACAGA